TTCCAAAGTTTTGATTTCTACCAATCAATGATCTGATATTTCATTCTTCTCGAATATCAAAGGGATCCAAATAAATATAATTGAGGTCAGCCCCTCCTTTTTGATTATCTTATCTAGGTACAAAGCACAGCGTAGGCTGATTAAACCCGAAAAAGTTCCTTGCTGTCGGTCTGTCGGTCAATCAGTTCGGGTTGTGGCATTCTTATCTCTCGGGAAAGAAACATATCGCAAAGCCTAAACCGTAGGAAAGCGAAAGAGCTTCGATCATTTACACAACTAAGCTTACTCTTTTTGCTATTATCATGTCGGCGCCGGCGACCAATTTTACACAGCAGGAGAAACCGAGTGAGCCTAGTACTAATGGCACACCTTCTACTGGTCAGCAGCAATCCAAGTCGCAGAATGGTTAGTGGAGAAATCTGGGGACAACCTTTTGAATTAGCCATGGTCGCACAATGCCATTGTACATGTAGACTGACATTTCAGTAGGAGGAAATCACAAAAGAATTTATCAAGCTTGCATCCCATGGTAATTGACCCCAATTAATGGTCTCATCTCAAGGCTAATTGTAATTGCAGTCGTCGTCGCAAAGTGAGATGCGATTTAGGAAGTGTCGATAATCCGAGTGATCCACCATGTGTACGATGCCGACGCGAAAGTAAAGAATGCTTCTTTTCAGCCACGAGAAGAAAGAGGAAGGCGGATGGCAGTAGAGAAAATAGTGTTGAGGATGAGTATGCCGATGACTATGTGACGCGCAATGGTCGAAAGATGGTTTCTGGCTCTCCCCCAGCAACTTTCAGACAAAACTCTATGGGAGCTCCCCCTTCTGCTCGATCGGCAAGCAACGCCTTTGCTGATAGTGCGCGCATGGATCCTGGACCTCCTCTTACGCCAGGTGGTTCTATTGGAAGAACTCAGCCTCTACGAAGACCTCAATCAGAAACACGACAGCAAGAAGAAAGAGATCAGAACGTAGAGAATCCGGAAGCGCAAGAAGTTATGAGACAGGAGGTTTATGGCCCTCATGATGCTTTGGATCTTCTTTACAAGGCTGCTACTGATAGGTATGTTGAGGCCTTTCATCTAGAGCAATTCATATCCGCATTCCTGCTTCGCGTTGCTGCACTTTTCTATGTACAGCTTTAATGAGAGAAAATGGTTCTGGTGTTTTGCAATTGGCTAGATTTACAAGAATATATCATTATCACGAGAAGTTGTACTAATTCCTTCTATAGTCCAGGTCACAAAAGAGCACGACTAGACAGTAATAGCCAAGAATCTCCAAGAATTGGCCACAGAGCACAATCTGCCTCTCAGAGCTATCAAGGCCCTACAACTCAGCATACTTCATTTCCTATAAGCCATATGCGACACACAACCACACACACGGAATCTCCCATTGATCCTACGTTGTCAACTGGCGATACCATTCCATTAGACAAAGATCATGATCTGGGATACCAGGATGCAATTAAAGCTTGGTCAAGGTTTAGATTTGTTCGTGCAGGATGGTTCACTGCAGCAGAAGCTATTCAATATATCACATAGTAAGTTTTCCCAATTCTCTAACTTGCAACTAAATTAATGATTGGGTTAGCTATTACGAATTCTTGTCGCCACTAACACCTATCTCTCCCCCTACATTTAAAGAGCCTTACACTCATCCTATGCTTCTAGTCGAAGAACCAATTCTCACAGTGACATTATTGACAATTTCAAGTCGGTACATGGAAATGTCTGGAGCTGGAGGACATTCTAGATCGTACGCGATCCATGAACAGCTTTGGACTTACTTAAGAGGCATGATCGAGAGATGTCTTTGGGGTCAAGAAGCGTTCGGTGGTGGATTTTGTGGTTCCGGCGCGGAGGCTTCTCTCACATCAAGCACTGCACCATGGAGAGGACTTCGGAAAGGCAGTCTTCGTACTCTCGGTACAATTGAAAGTCTGATGATCTTGACAGAGTGGCATCCTCGTGCTCTGCACTTTCCTCCTGCGGAAGCAACTGATGAACTCATGTTACCAGTTCCTGACAGGGAAGATGCTTTCACTACTGATGAAGAAGGCAAACACCATCTACCTGGCGGTGTTGGAGGGCGAAGAATCGAAGGCTGGCTAGAACCTGCTTGGAGAAGTGATCGAATGTGCTGGATGTTGTTGAGTACTGCCATGGGCCTCGGCTACGAACTAGGTGTTTTTGATGATATTGACGAGTCGTTGGCTGATGGTGGAGAAATGACACGACCAGAATACAACGAAGAATCATATCGAATCAGAGCCGCGAGAATTAAGCGGCTGGTGCTAATCTATGTCACGCAACTAGCTGGACGTCTAGGCTGGACCAACATGGTTCCTGAACACCTACGGAAAACGGATCCTGCATTTGCTCCACGAAAACGTAGGCTATCGATCGATGGTAAAACCCCCGACACCAATACAACCAGTGTAACAAATTTTAATTACATTCCCGATTTAGAATTGGATGATCAGATTATTCATTGCTGGGCCGGGATTAGTAATGCCATGCGCATGGGCAATGAAAAGATTTTTAGATCTAGGCAATACACGACCAAGATCATCCAAGACGGTAGCTACACAGATCTCTTGAAGGATTTTCAACCAATGTTAAGTTCATGGAAACGAGAGTTCGATAGATTTGGATTGCCTCTCTACATTCGACATATTCTGACCATAGAGTACGAGTATGTCAGAATATACATAAACTCTCTCTCTTTGCAGGCGGTTGTTGAAAGATGCACAAGCAATGCAACCAATCGAACAAACGCCTCCAACGATTCAGGTTTACCACTAGGAAGTGCCATGTCCCCAGAGACACAAAATTACTTCGGAAAGCTACCATTAGCGAGACTCGGTGGTTTTGGAGCGACTGATCAGGGATATGTCAGAGAAGTTGTCGAGGGATGTCGCAACCTATTACGAACAGTCGTAGAGGGACTTCTACCAAACGATTACCTGAAGCATGCTCCTGTTCGAACATACTTCCGGATCATAAGTGGTGCCATGTTTTTGTTGAAAACATTCGCGTTAGGAGCATCTAAACATGATGTTGAGATCAGCATCAGCCTCATGGATTCTGCGGTCAATGCACTTCGTACTTGTGTAGTCGACGACGTCCATCTCGGCATTCGCTTTGCGGAATTGCTGGAAACATTGACCAAGCGTCTGCGTAGTCGCTTCATTAGCGCCCCTGAAGCACCTCCCCTCTCAGGAGAACCTGGAAGTAGAAGTCGCACTCCGGCACCACCTCATGACACAGATCCGAATAAGTTGAGACGTGACCCAGCTGACCCGATTCGAGATTGGAATGATGGCATGCCCAACTACCATGTAAATGGTCCAGGTAAGCTCAAATACTCAGTACCCTTCCCCAAACTCTTACTCTAACCATTTCATCCCCACAGACCTCAATCTTTCCGCCACGCCCTATGATCTCAACCAAGGAGATTTCTACGCCGGCTCCCATTACCCCGCAGCGCATGGCGGTCCCAACTTCAACAGTGACTCCATTAATTCCATGTTCGGCATGTCAGGCTCTAGCAATGATTGGGGTAACAACAATAGTAGCGACGAAATGTGGTATTTGCCACCCGGATCCGCCTTCTATCAAGATCTCAATAGCCAGGTGAATATTACGCAGACCGCGGATGGCGTTAATGTGGGTGGTATGGATTTGCTGGATTATATGGCGTTGGATAATGCGTTCCCGAGCGATGGACAGGTTTTGCATTAAATGATTGAAGATGCTTCTGCAGAAACAAAGCGATGAGGGTGGCGTGAGTCCTTTTATGGCGATGGCAAGGCAAATGATACCAAGGAGTGTGTTGGGAGGTATAATCGGCTTTGTGGGATTTGGTTTTGGGCTTACTTTTACATGCTTTGGAGTTGATGGCTGGAAGGGGTATGATACTTTGAGCGGGAATTGGTCACAAATAACGAACAGAGCAACGGTGTCAGGTTATATTTTGGGTTGGGAATGGATTATGATACTGATGCAAGTATGAAACGAATTTTTCTCCAGATATATGTAGGGAGGGGCAAGTCATAGCAGCTCGAATAGAGATTTTGTGCCAATCGAATAGACCTTGAAGCCTGGCAGGTTCTTATGTATGTCTGAACAGACAATGATGTGATAAAATGATAACCCAGGCAATGAATTTAATGTTTGTTTCGAAGAGACGATGTGGATATCTTCTTCACGTACGTGGCAAGCCACGTATCGCAATGAAAATTAGTATCCGTATGAGCGGGACTGGGTTACATTCCAGCATGGCAGTTTCCTATATCTTTAAACTGTTAGTGATACTTCTATCATGGAACAATTGTGAAAAAGTGTAGAGAAAAATGAAATGTCAGATCAAAAGCCTAGTCATAGGCAGTTTCATCAATTACCAACGTGTGGATATGTCGACCGTCGTGATAAATTAATCATCATGTTAGGGAGTGGGGATAATGAGTGTACGAAAGTGAATAATAACATACCAAAAATGAAAAGACCAGATCAAGGAGCACCAATATGATGCGAGATATCAACTTAGGTCGATAGGACATGGCATACAAGAATCTAAACGATACTCGTTAGTAATGGCTATGAATTTATTTAAACGGTGTGTAATAGCATGAGCATATTCAGTTAAGATAGGCTCGTCACAGCCGAGGCTTGGACATATGCTTGTCATTGTCGATCGATGTCATCAGAATGCTCGAGGGCTGTCGGAATAATGTGAAGAGAGGGAAATTCTTACCAAAATAAGCCGACACCATAACGCCGGCAGTGGAGAGGATTGCAGCAATTCAAACCCCTAACAGTTTAATGTTAGCACATGCCTTGATAGAATCAATAACAAGTAAATTCTTTTCGTCAAAATTCAGAAGGCATGAATGGTATAATTTTGATGGTGTCAACATGGAAAACTCCGATCAGACTCGTCATCTAAAAATGCTCATCATAAAAAGTATGTAATTTAATAAAAAAATATTTATTTACCTGATGCTACAGCCCTCACGGAGGTGGTGGTGCCCAGAGTCAATGAAGACCTGGAATGCCCGATGGGTTCCAAGAGGATTATCAAAATCTATGTTTCCAAAATCAGAAACCATATATCAAACATGTGTACAACAGATGCTGATAATATGACTGAAATCAGTGGGCGAGGTTTTCTAGGCCTGCCGCAAAATGGCATATCCATCAAGACCAGAACCATTTTGGAACTGTCGGAGCCCAGTGCCATTCATCATTTTATGCAGTCGCGAGATATTGAAAGTGAAGAGAGCTGTGTCGTACCTCTTGACTTGAAGGGCCCATCTAGTCTTAGATTATAATTAGCATCAATTCGAAGAAGAAAAAAAATCATCAAATTGACTTGAATTGAAAAATTTGCTCAGTTACAGCCTTTTTTGTCGTCAAAAGCCCGAAAGCTTCAGTCGGTAATTTCCAGCATGCAAAAGCATAAACTGATCATCATCACAAATTGTGTGCGGGGTGAGGGGAAGGAGGAAAGCGTTTAGAGTGGTGAAGGGAAGCTTACAATTGTTATGATGAGCCAACGTTGAATCCAGAGATTTGTTGTAGCAAATGCACATAGCATAAATGTATTGCATTGACATCTATCTCAATTGTTAGCAATGATTCCAGTCATGAAATTGCTCGAATGAGTAAAATTGTGATCCAATATCAGACTGACGTGTTACAAAAGTTTCATTTCCCGTAGGATCAAAGACTCTAGTTTGCGGTTGTTGTTTTGTCATCACATAGTGAAGGGAAAGGGAAGAAGATATAGATGCGCTTACCATTGATGATGAACTGGATCAGATTGAATTGAGTTTTGTCAATTCAATCCAATCCATACTGCATGAAGCAGAGGTGGTTGTTGGGTTGAGAAAAATATTTTGGATGGTTTGAGGAAGAGGCAGAGTTTTGTAGCTTAAAAAATTTCATTCGCGCGCTAAACACTAGCTCGAACAGTTTAGCGCAAGGTGCTTTGCAACCTGAGGCTGATAATTGAGTCTTTTGTGACCTGAGGCTCTAATAATTCAATCACACCGAATCGATGATGCATTCAAGAGTCACGTGGTATGACTATTCATTTCGGCGATGGTATTGTTTTGCCAGTTCTCACCGAAGCTTTCTCATGTAACGCCGAAAGGTGTACTCTCCAGTTGCTCCGTAATGAACGTTTTCATCTCATGCCACCAACGAAAAGGATCAAATACACGATTGGTCGATTGATGATTACCTAGGTCTACCTAGGTAGATACCGGTGCCTACTAGGTATACACACCCAGGCTCGAGCCAGATATATATATTCTCCTACCTTCAAATTTATCATGGAAAAACATTCTTGCGAGCGGAAAGACAAATGACATATCCGTCCGAAGCCCGGTTTCGCCCGTATAACTCTATGATGTTCATGTAAAATAATTCCAGACCAATCTTTATACCTAGGATAAGCGGATTTGTCAGTCACCAAACGTTGAAATTTGTGATGACTGTATTGTTTGTTGTACGTTGGACTATATGTATCCCTACCTTGGAATATTACCAAGCATATGGAATCTATTTCTCATTCCACCGGAAAATCATTTCTTTCCTTTCTTTTGCTTTGCTCAATGCTCCTACTAGGTCCGTACCCAGTATATACCTCATACAGTACTGACACTCAGCTTGCCCAACAAATCCGCATACCGGTATTACGTTTCCCGTGTTTAATTATACTCTTCCGGCCCCCATTCCTCCGATCCTTTTAGCGCGGGGCATTGAATGAACAAAGCAACCAAGCAAATACAACACGGGACCTGAGTGCGGGGCTCGTGGGGTGGGGGGGAGAAGGGGGGGACCTTAAAAAAGCCACTTAACTTTCCAGTGGGACGTGTGATATGAATGTGATGAGAGAGGTGAGAGGTGAGAGGTGAGAGGTGAGGGATGAGGGACGAGGGATGAGGGAGATGAGGGATGAGAGATATGAGATGAGAGATGAGAGTTGAGAGATGAGAGATGAGAGATGAGAGATGAGAGATGAGAGATGAGAGATATGAGATATGAGATGAGAGATACGAGATGAGAGAGCGCAGCATATCTGGATATCTAGGTCGGTGGTAAGGTAATAAACAAAACACAATTGTGGAATTGGGGTATTCTAGTATCGTGGCTCGGTGTGGGAGAGTCATGTTGGAGAGTAGATCATCCAGCTCCAATATTTCTTCCTTCACAGCTTGGAAATACAATGGAGCATTGCAACTCGACGATCCAATTCCTATAGTAATCAAAAGGTATGATATCAGAAGAATAAATACCAAAAAAAAAAAAAAAAAAAAACAGTACTTATTACCCCTTTTCCTTCCCTTTCCTTTCTTCCTTTCTTTCTTCCTTTTATTTCCTCCTTCTTTTCCCCACGTTTACAGACTATCTATCCATCGGCGTGCTCGTTCTATCTTAATTATCGAATACTGCTTCCGGAAATCATACCCGTGTAGACCCGAGGTCCAGTATTTATAACAACAGGCGCCGTACGTTGATACTCCCCTCAATAACTCCTTTCTATTTATTTGTTTATACAATCAAACAATTCAAAAAAGATTCCTACTCAATAATCTCATCATGTCTCACGGCGGCGACCAAGGCTCAACAGAGCATATCAACACAGACATTATCACTCTTACTAGATTCCTCACCGAAGAACAAACAAAAGTTAAAGAAGCAACCGGAGATTTCACGTATGCCATCTAATATCATTTAACTCTCTTAAACCTGCAGAAAACTAACAAGAGCCAGACTTCTTTGCCATGCCCTCCAATTTTCCTTCAAATCGATAGCATACTATATCCGTCGCGCAACCCTCATCAACTTAACCGGTCTCGCAGGATCAAGCAACATCACTGGAGATGACCAAAAGAAACTCGACGTAATTGGCAATGACCTCTTTATCGCTGCCATGAAATCTTCCGGAAAATGCGCCGTCTTAGTTTCAGAAGAGGAAGAAGAAGCCATCTTCTTCCCCGAAGCTAAAGGTGCCCGTTATGCCGTAGCATGCGACCCCATCGACGGTTCCTCCAATCTCGACGCTGGTGTCTCCGTCGGCACAATCTTCGGTATTCATAAACTCGCAGAAGGCTCTACAGGAACCAAGGAAGATCTCCTCAAGCCCGGAACCGAGCTCATCGCCGCAGGTTTCACCATGTACGGTGCCTCGGCCCAATTAGTTATTACAATGAAGGGAGGTGGTGTCAATGGTTTCACAATGGATAACGCATTGGGAGAATTCATCCTCACACATCCCGATATGAAATTACCTAAATCGAGATCCATCTACTCGGTCAATGAGGGAAATTCTCTTTACTGGGAAGATAGTACCAAAAACTACTTCAACTCATTAAAGTACCCTGAGAAAGAGGGCGGAAAACCTTATAGCGCAAGATATATCGGAAGCATGGTGGCAGATGCTTACAGAACATTGCTATACGGAGGTATTTTCGCCTACCCGGCGGATAAGAAGAGTCCCAAGGGCAAATTGAGAATTTTGTACGAATGTGCACCTATGGCTATGGTTTTTGAAAACGGTAAGTTTCCTTTCCTCTCCCCGTATTCACAAACAGAATACTAACATAATATCTCCAGCCGGCGGCCAAGCGTTAAACAGCAAAATGGACCGAATGATGGAAGTAGTACCCGAAAGTATCCACGACAGATCCGGTATCTTCATGGGTAGTTGGGATGAAATGGAGAAGGTCAAGTCATTTCATAAGTGAGGGAGGAGTTTGATATCAAGATGATTGGCTTCGGGGACTGGGGTTTAGGATATGGTTCTAGGTAGCGAATATCATTTTGTTTCTTGCCCTGAATAATACATGAATAAATATACTTATTACGATATACAGTCCCCTGGGTGAAATGAGATGAGATTGGGGGTGAAAAATGACATGTCGCAGTTGGAATGAATTGTTGTAATATTCATTAGAGACCCCTCTACACCCTCTCCCTTCCCAGCCAAACCACGCGTCTCCCCCTTCCAGGTAGTTCAAACATCTTCAAGAATCCAAGATATCCACGGGTATAATCAATCACCCAAAACAGAAAGAAAATCTAAAGCATCTCTCGGTTGGAAAGATATGATATGATATATTGTGATATGATTTGATTTGATATGCTATAGAATACCTGTAATATAGCTATCATATAGTACAGAGCGTCTTGGCATATAGTCTGCTGGTATTAGGAGTGATTTTTTTAGGTTATGGTAAAGTAATTGTGAGGTAATGAGATATAAATGAGATAGAGTATGGGGATGAACTGCTGGATGGGTTTGAGTAGTGGGCAGGAAGGTAGAAGGTATCACACAAAACAATATACCGAGGATTCAGAAAGCGAGAAAGCGAGAATGTGAGAATGCGAAGATATACAAACGTATCTGTTGATGATATATATCTATGTGTGTCTATCTATTTGTGTGTATATCTATCTAACTAGACATCTGCATATGCATCTGCATATATCTGTGGTATTGTAATATAATCATATAGACTGTAGATTGTAGATTGTATCTACAAAAAATTTCTATAATCAAAGTCAACAAGCTGTATCATGTGACCCCCTCCTCCCCTCTTCCCCTCTTCCTCAGCATCCCACAATTCTCCTCCTCCAAGATCTCGTTTGTAGACGATCAAGATAAAACTCACGTATAGCAGGTTTATCGTGTTTCCTTCAGTTAATATCGGAAGTATACATGTTACACGTCTTCTCTCTACTCTCTACTCTCTCCTCTCCGTTTCTTTTTTATACCCAGATGTTCGTATTTCCAAGGCACATTTGTGAATCTATCTTTCCTCAATCTCATTTTCGTCTCCATGTCCCTTCTCAATTTCCTCTCCCTTCGTCTCGCTAAAATTTTCAAGAACTTTTATATTCCCATTTCCACCCCCCCATTCCTACCAATTAAACAATACATTAACCCCTTCAATTATTTAAACCATTTCCCCCCTATCTCTTCCTCATAATAACCACATCTCCATGCCCAAATCCCACAATCCTCCGCCTCCAAGAGAATACAATACACCGACTCCCACAATCTACAATCGAACCGTCCCTCATTCCTCACCAGAAATGATCATCCATCCATCCTATCCCACCCTTCGAGACGGAAACAGGAATTTCGCACCCCAATATCCATACCACTCTGACACGACAAGCGCCTAGTTTTCGACATAATAGGAGGGATCCACTCCCGCGACGTACGACTCGCACTTCTCAGAAAGGGTAAGCGACTAGCAGAGACGTACCCAAAAGGGAACTTCTTGTGCTCATAGTACAGTATCACACCCCGCCTACTCATCATCTCATCAAGCTGAACTTCCATCGTATAGTTAAGCGCGCGCCCAAGCTTCCTGTAGGTCTCGACCCATCGATCAATCACATGATCTGTGAGATTTTGACGTGTATCGGCAGTACCAAATCGTACGGAATATTCTTCCAGTCTTGGGAAATCTAAGCGTAAGCGACTTAAAAATACGCTCTGGTCGGTTGAAGTATGGTCGAGAGACAGATGTTTCACATGTTCAAACATGTGTCTGAAATTATGCATCCAGGGAGCCTCTGTTCTGAGCATGGTGTAAAGTTGTGTGCTAATATGCAACGTGTCAGTCTCAGCATTAAAGCATGATTTTGGGAGCCGAAAGTATGGTTTATAAGTGAGCAGAACTTCTTCGCTAGGTATCAATGATTTTGAGATCAGGAATTTGGAGGTTAAAAGCAATTGTCTCAATTTCCAGGTAACGTGAAATTGAGCAGGGCTGTCGCTCAAGATGATGGTTTTGAGGAATTTGTCGTGATGGCACTCAAGACGAATCATCCGAGGCTCCAGTTCAATAGCCATTTCGAGAATTAATAGCATGATCTCATCAGGTAAAGATATCTTCTCGTTTGATGATCTGAGTTTCTCAGAGGGTGATTCGATGAGGTCAACTGGAGAATATCGTATCGTAAGTTGGGCAGTGGTAGCAGCAGACAGCTCTGTCACTTCGAAGTCTTCGTGCTTCATGATGAGAGTGTATGGATGACACGTTGGTATAACCGCAAATAATTGATCGTGAGAATACAAAGCAACGAAGTCATTACCTTATATCACACTATGTCAATCGGGATCTGGAACATCTGTGTTGACAAAAGTAAGGATTCAAGGGATCCCAAAGGTTGAGGAGCACAATTGCTAGCAAATGGTTATCGATATTACTTGATTTCGGCGGCACTATGCTACTACTAAGTAACTTGTAATGAATCATTGAGTGCCAAGTTGGGGAGGGGTGCATTCCGCATTGGTTTCGAACAACCGATCAATTGATTGGCTGGCATGGAGACATGTTGAAAGTCTTGACACTAAAAGCCTTTAGTTTTATGATTTCGACTCTTCTTGGCCATTGATTTAGCTTATGACGCTCGAAAGAGGAATGAATCTTCATTAAGATATATGTCATGGTGGGGAGATTATATATTAGAACCTTCTTGACCGAAGTCTAAAAGACGATAGGATCTTATCAAACATAATGTGAAATGATGTTATAGATGTATATAAGAGTAGTAACACTTGTTACGCTCTAGAATAAGCTTTATGTTTTCATTATAATTTCTGTTCGTTTTGCTAGCTAAAACCATTTTCATCTCGAAATCCCAAACTCCTTCGCTCCATACCTACACTACAATAGTAATCCAGCTGATAGAAAGAAAATATTTTGTACATTTTTGCTCCAAATTCCTCTCAGCTCTCCATCAACCTTTGGCAAAATCTCGGTCATCTGTCGGTGCTTAAATTCCACCCGATTGCTGCAATAATTTGGAGACCCAGCCTCATCTCAATCTCACTCTTAACGTCTTCCCCTTCCACCTCCGCCTCGAACTCGACTTGGACTTCGACTTCGATCATCATAGCTGCTATAGCTACTATAACTAGGACTTCTCTTTCTTCTCCCATCCCTGCTTCCATCTCTATCCCTACCACCTCTACCTCCGCGACCTCCAAAACTATCTCTCCTATCCCTCCCTCTGTCTCTTCTTGGGGATCTTGACCGTGATCGGCTACTTAGACTTCGACTTCTCGTCCTATGTCTTCGGGGGCTTCTTGATCTCTCACGGTTTCTCTCGCCAGGTCTATAAGTATCACCACCTCTATCTCTTTCCCTATCCATCAGTCTTCCGCCTCCTCCCATTCCACCTCCAGCACCTCTAGACTCAAAGCCGCCACGAGAATTCCTACTACCAATTGGAATTCTAGGATCGATATTTACTCCCCGACGGGCCATGGGCGGTTGAGGACTAAATTTGCGGCGAGGTAAGACGATTGATACATTTATGACGGCGCCATCGAGTTGTGCTTCGTGCATATGAGCTATCGCAGATTCGGCGGATGATGAAGAAACGTAAAGAATATAAGCTGTACCGCGGTTGGTATTGACTTTCCAAGAATGTTAGCTGACATACTCGTTGTAATTTATACGTTAGGATAGTAGAGTATGAAGATGAGATGGTATGCAGAGAATTTTAACATGCAACTTACAATTTCTGTTCATTGGCACATCTAGATCTTTGATTTCGCCAAAACTTCCAAATATCTCACGAAGATGATCTTCGGTAACATTTTTCGTAAGTTTCTCAATCACAACCTGCAAACAGAATTGATTGTTAGTATGTGCATATCAAACTTCAATTACAAAAAATAGCATTGCTTGAAATATCTCCATTCTCGAGAGAAGAAGAAAATAAAATAGAGCAAACAAACCTTGGTACTCCTCGGGGCAGCTACAGATCCAGCGCTCTCACTTCTCCCTCGACTTCTACTTCGAGTTCTACTCCGACCCCTAGGACTTAAACTTCTTCCTCGACTTTCACTCCTATATCTCGCGCCTCCACTTCTACCAGCACCAACTGCGCTTACCAAGCTACGACTCCTACTTCTGCCCCCAGATCTAGATCGAGAACGAGGTGAAATTGAACGGCGTGGAGATCGGCTGCGCGACCGGGTATAGCGTGATGCGCTGGAATCTGGAGTCCTTGAACGGGAACGTACACGGGAGCGACCGCGGGGGACGGGTGAGGGGGTTGGTGAGGGCATTGTTGATGGGTTATAATTTTATAGCTGAAAGGAGGGGAAAGCTTGATGGGTTGATTGCGATGGAGAGTCGCGTCTGGGGAATTATTTTGCGCGAGGCTGGGCCGTGCACTTGCGGATCAGAATTAAGAGATGGAGGAGGGTGAGGCATTGTTGCCTAAGGCTTTTATGCTTATTCAAGGTGTATATGGCCAATATTGTCATCCCCAACGAACACAAGAGTACGGCGTCTTTCATGAATGCTAGTGTATTCAGGTTATCATCAGTTAAGCTTCGATTCTCGTTATGATCTTTCTGTGCCATCTAAATCGCCGGATCCGGGTATGTTTGAAATCTTCGTTTTCAACTCTTCTCTAATACTTCAGATATTTTGGCTATCTTGTCGCTATTCATGTAAAATGATGACTCCAGCTTTGATCTGAAGATATGTGGTACAAGTTACTCTAGCAGGCTTTGAGTATTGGTATCCCAAATTTTCTATCTCATGACACCACTTTGCCCTCCTAGACTTGTAGCTGGTGAGGGTTCAAGACCCATGATGATCACTTTTGATCCGGTATTATTAGTAGGCGGCCTCGATCCATTTCAAGGGCCTTATCATTGAAGCGCAATGCAGCCTTTCTCCTTATTGTTCATGTTTTGGTTCTGGCACGTACGAGAGGACGAGGAAGCTATATTGCCTATGTTGGATGAAATTCCACAATCTATCAATAATTGGCCCCCTCTAATCTCCAAACTATACTCTAGTCATTAGATGGTCTGGAAATACATGTAAATTCTCGTCAGGTTGAATACTGAATCAGTATATGTCGGACGATTTAGAACGCCGTAGCCTTTTCTCTCTTCCCGTCAGCTTTTTATGCCATTCTTCATTCCAGCATCTATAGACAGTAACGAAGCATCCGAAACTCATCAATGCCCCCCAAAAGACGTAAAATTATACAAACTACAACACAAGACATCTATTTTCTGAAGGCGCTATGAGCCTACATAGCAATCAAAATGTATTAAGCAAAATTTCTATCTCATAATCGGTAGTCTCTCGTGTACCATTCCAAATCTCCAGTATGCACCCTTTATGCACCATTCTCCACAAAATAACTTCAATCTCATCTTACAGATCCCAAATGAGAATGCGTTAAACTTTCGAACGTATTGTTCCACGTCTACAAAATCCCGTATACTTTGTTTATATGTCTAGTCCACTTTTCTGGAGCAAATTGAATATCTGTTTTGAAACTCTCGATACACAGAGCACTCCTAAAAGGCTTTCATAGACTTTGTTGCAGATCTCAATGATCGGATCTCCCAAGCGGTTGAGTGGTTCAGGAGCATTGCTTCTCATTTTATTAGACATATAAAACACACAGAACCCCAATCAATTGCACGCTAATAACTGTTACCCACCAATGCAACAAAACGATCTCACTTTACACATTCACCACTTCATGTGATTGAGCCCACCTTTCCAGATTTATATTACAATTCACTAAAATTTTCGTCACATTCCATTCCAAATCTGAAATATCTCACTCCTCGCTAGTAAAGATAGACAACCGAATAAAGCGTTCACAAGCAACTATAAATCTCAAGCTAGCCATAAAGTTGGAGCACTACATCTGTAGACCTGCAACAAACCGATGAAGATCCATATATTCACTCACCAATTCGCCATAGAATACACCGAAAACTATCAGATGAAACCCTACTAACCTCATCATAAGTTTCGTTGCACATCTCACAGACAAAGAGCGTCCCAAGAACCCTGGACCTAACACCGCTAGCAACGCTAGCAAAAAGCTAGCCACTATATAGATTTACAGATATGCAACAAAACAAACTCGCCTCATAATTCACTACTTCACATGACAACCCACTAAGTCTTCTCACCTGTTCTGTTGCATATCTGAAATATTTCTTTCTGTTTCCAATCCCCTTAACCACTTAAACTTTTTGAATCTATCACGCTAGCAACGCTAGCAACAAGCTAGCCACTATATACATTTACAGATATGCAACAAAAACCAACTTACCTCACAATTCACTACTTCGCATTACCGAGCTCATTAATTAGCTCTATACAACAATCTACCATTGCTTTTTCACATTTTTTGTTGCATATCTGAAATATCCTTTCCCATTGCCAATCCTCTTTAATCACTTGAACTTGTCCAATATATCACACCAGCAATAAGCTAGCAACACTAGCAACTATATACATCACTGTATGCATCTACAGACATGCAACAAAACTTTTTTTTATAGGAAAGTCACATGTTACTATCGTCCCAAGGTTGTGGAGTATTATTCACTTCATGATCAAGAATTTCTATGGGGAGATATGCAGTTCGGGATGGTAGATGGATGTGTTAGAATGTTCTTGATATTTGCTGTAGAGCGTGGGGTGGGATGGGAGTGAGATATACGATTATGACTTAGGTAGGTAGGTACGTATGGTATGTGTGTTTTCTAGGTCATATAAACTTAGGTACAGAGCGCAACACTATTGTTTACTATCATTATCATTACATTTCTTATAGGAATGACTCATAAGTTGTAGGTATTTCCATACCTATTTATTCATATCTGTAATGTTTTGCAAAGCCAAATCGGCTACATGTTTTTGCGATGCTCTTCGATGGATACGACTTTAAAATCTCGTACTAACCTGGGTAGTGGATCGTATTTGATGCTTATATTCACAACGTCATGTGAATAACATTGTGCTTGTAGTGCAAAAGCCCAAACATCCTGGGTGGTGCATACAAATCCCTTCTTCGCCATCTGTTATCAGCCCACTCCAGGGTATGAACAAGTAGCTTCAGTTTCTTGACGAGTAACCACTCATCATTAACGACATCACTTCTGTAGAAACCCTCAGGATACCAACACCTCAACACATACAAAGTATCTTCCCCTCGCACCTCACACCTGGGTAACCTCATCCCTCCTAATTCCGAAGAAATAATTCCCCACCTTCTCACTCCCAGGCACAACCTTCCACCCCAACCCCGGCACATAAACTACCCCCCTAACTATCGGACTATTCCAGCCCCTCTCCCTCAAAAAATGCCCCCTCAACTCCTCCTCATTAATATACTGATTCCAATCATGCGTCCCCCTCGGTACAATCCCTATAACATCCTCCGCCACCACCTTCGTCGTCAACCAACTCGTCCACGTCCTCGCCATCGTACTCATGATAATCCATCCCCCAGGCTTCACAAACGGCGTACACTTATCCAAAAACTCAGACGGATACGTAATATGTTCAATAACCTCAAACAACGAAAGCACATCATATTGCTCCTCTCTCGATTTCGGCGTCGGTAACCCCTCAATTGACGTATTCAAATACGTTAATTTCCCCTGCAGCCCTGGATCTTTGCGCGCATGCGCTTTTGCAACATCCAACACTACGGGCGAAGGATCAATTGCCGTGACGCTCCCCGCATTTCCCATTCTCGCAGCACTTTCGGCGAAGATCCCGCCGCCACAGCCGATATCGAGATATTTCAGCCCGGAGGATGCGGGGGGGATGGGCTGCGAAGCATGACATGTGCGAATGAAATCATGACGGAGCGGGTTCATTAGATGTAGTAATCGTGAAGAGCCATGGGGATCCCACCATGTTGATGCGAGGGCATTGAAATGCGAAACCTCGTTGGGGTTGACGGATGATGAGGAATGAGAATGATTGGGAGAGGTCGATTGACTTCGGAATTGATTCTGGATGTATCGAGGTGCGGTTCGGAGAAGGAGGTTGATATTTAGGAGGGATGTCGGACGTAGTGGCGTGGAGAGAGTGAGGGGCATGATTTGTATATTTGTGTGTATGTATGTATATATGTATGTAAATATAATGTTACAAAATCCCTATATGATCATGTACTCCAAATTGAAGGCCAAGCTCTTTCGTTACCAATTGGAATTGGATAATATCGACTAGTTACCTGGGAATATGTAATCGGCCCCAAGGAATAGATTCGTCGAGGCTCAAAACGTTCGAGAAATCCCAGGTGGTATGTGTAATTTTCGTATATGATTTGTTAAAAAGCATTTGCTGACATGAAAATTAATTGGTTTTTGTCAGCCTCTTGGTAAGCCCTTATGCATTTCTGTCTTCCATACCCCTGTACTAAACCCAAATCCCCTAGTAGTCCGATGCCGAAGATCTTTCCATCCGCCCCGGAGAACAAAAAATGTACTCAGGGCACTTGAGAGGATGTTCAACTACTTCATACCGTCAAATCGTATCCACTGATTTGAATATATAATCTACATATACCGTTCCTGATATTATTCTTGAAGATACCTACCTAGATATTGCTTATTCATTGTTACTTCTATTATCGTCATAGAAGAAAGAAAGAAAGTCCAATTGTCAAATCATCATTAGATATCTCCTCACGACATCTCCCCACTATCATTCGGAAGCGGGGCACTTTTATATATTCATCCCATCTTCTCAGTCTGACTCCCTCATTCCCTTTCTTTCACTCCCAACTTATTCTCATCGTAATCCAAAATGCCTTCTTCAGATATAATCCACGAATTCGATACAATCGAAGACACAATCACCGCCTTCAGTAAGCACCCCCTCCATCCGCTCCCTCCCGACCATTCCCATGCAAACCCATTCCTCCTCCCAACTAACTCTCCCCCTCCTCCCAGAAAATGGTGAATTCATCATCGTTCTCGACTCCACCTCGCGCGAAAACGAAGGCGACCTCATAATAGCCGCTAGCGACATGACGCCCGAAAAAATGGCCTTCATGGTCCGCCACACCTCCGGCATAATCTGCACACCCATTCCCCCCTCCCTAACCACGCAATTCGCTCTCCCCCAGATGGTCAGCGATAACGAAGATCCCAACCGTACCGCCTACACCATAAGCATCGATGCCAACCACCCATCGACCACCACCGGCATCAGCGCCCACGATCGCTCTCTCACCTGCACCATGCTAGCGGATGCGAAATCCAGCCCGCAGAGCTTCCGAAGACCCGGTCACGTATTCCCCTTGCGGGCGCGCGAGGGCGGTGTGCGCGAGAGACCGGGACATACGGAGGCTGCGGTGGATTTTTGCAAGTTGGCGGGAAAGCCGCCTGTGGGGGTTATTTGTGAGATTGTGGAGGATGGAGAGGAAGTTGCCGGACAAGCGATTAGGAAGGAGCCGGGAATGTTGAGGAGAGATGGATGTTTAGCTTTTGGAAAGAAATGGGGGTTGAAGACTTGTACGATTGAGGCACTGGTGGAGTATTTGGAGGAGAAAGAGGGGAAGTGGGTGAAGAATGACGAGCAGCGTAATGGAAATGGGGCTTGAGGCAAAAAGTCGATCCGTGTGTATTAAGAAAGATATCAGGGTGATTTTCGGAAAGAAGAGAAGCTGGAAAGAAGGCTACTCGAAGGCAATGGAGAGGAGAGGTAAACACCTGCAGGAGATAAAACGGATATGATAAATTTGTTGGATAGATGATGAGGAGTTCAACTGGTCCTTACTTGTAGTTCTATATGGGCTTGGTATATTAGATTCAATCGCCGCGAGGAGCAAAAGGCAAAATCTCAACAATGGAATTTAAATAGGTGTTCAGATGTTTCTTGAGTCTTTTCTACATTCTACTATTTCGCAAACCGGATATACTACATCTCAAGTAGTTACTTTGCATGTATACACACTATCCTCAGTTTCATTAAAAAAAAGAAAACTCACAAATAGCATCGCAAAAACACAACCATCATAATAAAGTATCACAAAGCAAAATACAAGAGTCATGTTAATTTTTTTTCATTAATGGCAATTCTACACATAATTTTGGCGCCAGCAAATGCAGCAAAAAAGCAGCCTCCTAGCAAGCATCCCGCCCATCAATTTATTCACCTCCCATCCCTCGCCCCAAACAAGACAAGACCAACCCAATCCCGGAATTACTACTTTACAATAAAGTAAGAAGTAAAGAATTTGAGCCCTACTGCTCAATTCATCACAAAAGCCAATGCAAACATCCTACACCAAAATGTGTAGCCTTACGAGCTAGCCAGTCCAACGTAGAAGTGAGTGCCGTGAAGCTTGATACCAAGTGTGATGAATATGAAAGGTAAGAGACCAATATCATCATTATTGCCATGAGCCACAACCCCGAAGTAATTTAATCAGAAAACAAGGTCATTTGCTTCATGATGTCTAAAGATTCTTTATTCCACCTAAAGAAAACCGCCTAAAAATCACAAGATCGCAATAGAATCTCAAGAACGCCAATATCGAGATAACAAAGCCCTTTTGATAGTATGCAGTACTGTCGAACATCAAGAGTGAACGACCAGAAAGAAATGAAAGAACGAGTCGTGATGTGTACAGGGTATCAAACATAGTTCATGAAAAGATTCATAGCACTATGAAAACCGGAGAATCGTTTAAAGCAGGCAGAGAAGGAAAGTTTCAGACAATACGATATGTTCATCATTGAGCTGTGGCCCATAGATCGCCCATTCTTGGCTTCATGTCATATTGTTCTGGCTCCGTGCTTTGTGGTCTTCTCATATTTGAATTTGGGTAATACATCTGGCCAATCGCTGCGCCAGATCCGTAGGGATCAGGGTCTGGATAGACATAGTTGTTGTTATGCGATGGAGATCCCATGTGAGATGGTGATTGCCAACCCATGTTGGTCATGTGTGGACTACCATTTGCGCTACCAGGTTGACGTTGTTCCATGTTGGCAGGAGGCTCTAGAATGTTTGGTGGGCCATAACCGGTTGGGTGGGAGGTAGGTCGTTGTTGCTGCATACCATTTGCAAAAGCAGTAGAGACTGGTGGTGGCTGGCTTGGTACACCATAATCACCACGAAGATGACCAGGTAAAGAGCTGTTATTCATGTAGCCGTAATCACCAGGGTGGCGCTGCATGCTATTCATTGGTGCCATGTCAGAACTTGGAGAAGCAGAGAGATGTCGGCCTGGAGAAGGGGTTGACATTGGAGATCCATTGTTTGAATATGACTCGCCATCGGAACGTTGTCTACTAGGTCTGTTATTACCAGGTCGAGTGGCAAGAGCAGCAGCAGTTGCAGCAGCAGCTTCTTCGACAGTTCCAGTATGATGGTTTTGGTGGCGTGTCAAAGTGGTTCTTCGGGTGAAAGTCTTTTGACAATCGGCATATGGGCACTTGTATGGACGCTTTCCGGAATGAATGCGCCTATGTCTAGCAAGAGAACTGGAGTCACTGAAGGGCTACTTTGGAATTAGCAAAATTTATCAACCCATAACTTATTGAATTATTGCTCACCTTTGCACAACGTTCGCAAGTGTGGGGTTTTTCACCAGTATGAACTCGAAGGTGGACTGTTAAAGCTGATCTTTGAATGAATTGTTTGCCACACCCCGGATAATCACAGACATGAGGTCGGACACCACTGTGAATTCGCTCTAGATAAAGGGGTCAGTAACTGGACTCGGATCATAAACTTTTTTTTTAAGAAACTTACCATGTCTTGCAAGGTCACTTCGGCGAGCAAATCCTTTGCCACATGTACTACAAGGGAAAGCTTTTGTGACTGTGACATCTCCAGGTTGACGTTGACGCGTGTTATCTTGTTGTTGAGTGGGCATCATGCTGTTATCGAAAGGAATGTCAGGGCGGTAAGGTTGTTGCATCATTGGCATCGCATTTTGCATACCGGGAGGTGAAGGATAGCGCATGCCATTTGGTGCTCCGTTCATTACATTCATTCCCATTCGTGGGGTAGAATATTGGGAATGTTCAGAACCATGAGGAGAAGTACCTCTCTCGGATCCAGCGTCAGACATGCGCATTCCGTTGGCTTGCGATATGGTTTGGAGTAGGTGTAAATCTTGAGCCTGAGCTTGAGCTTGACCACTTGCTGATGCTGCCGCTGCCGCTGCTGCTCCTTTCACTCCTTTCGAATTAACTATTTCTTTGATATCCATAATGAGACGATTCTTTTCAAGATTCCCTTGGCTAGAAAAATGAAGTAAAGAGGAAGAAGAGAGGATTATAGGACGTGATCGACGCTTGGATCAGGCGTTCGTACCAAGTTTTGAAATCTGGTACCGTGTCTCGAAGGTTGCTTTGTGTCTCGGGAACCAGTGTTCGAGAGGCTGTAAGTCGTATGCAAGAATATTAAATAGAAAACACTTTGCAAAGATTTGGATTGGGCCGTAATGACCGAAGTGACCGTAGTGAATTAAGTAGAGTAACGTGTTTGAAAGTTCTTCGTTCCAATCAAAAGTTAAAGTGACCTTTTAGATTGACTTCTTTTGAGGGGATTTTGCCGCTTTTCACTTTTTTCAAAAAGTCTATAGTGGGTGAATATTAGCAAAGTGTTATGGGGTAAGAGATGCAATGCTGTGTGTGGTGTTGGCATCAACAACAACAGCACGGTGCACACCGCCAATTCTCCTAAATTGTGTAGGAATAATAACGTAGAGTTAGGGGTGGATGAGTGGGTGAGTGGATGAGCGGGTGAGCGGGTGAGTGGATCCAGTATGTATGCACTGTATGTACTGTGTGTGTGTAGATATGTAGGTATCCGAGCTTGCTTACCTTATTATGGGATAGGATGACTAGGTCACTGTCCACTGTATGGCTTCAAAAATAAAGTAAAAATATAAAAAATTGACCGCGACAGTTTTCACGATCAATTACTATGTAAAATCCGCCAGTCTGGACACTGGGTGGGCGGGGGTGCGGGAATGTCACAACGCACGGGCAATCGTACAGACCGGTTAAAATTGATTGCCTCTTCTTTTAATCGTTCTCAAATCAGAAGAAGATGCTTTTCCAATCTATGGATC